CAGAGTAACTGAGATCTGTTTGAGATAGGACACTAAAGCTCAACATCCTGCAGGCAACCCCCAAAGGGGGTAACTGGGGTTCAGGATCACGACTTGTATTGACTAAGAAGGTGTTACAGGGGCTTGTACAGAATTTTAATACTTCCTTAGTGTGATGCCTTTTATCACATGTAAATCACTTGTACAAAATCATATTATAAGAACTTCTCTATGAGCAATTAAAATGATACATTTCATGAGCCCTATGTTGTCATCTGCTGGCACTTTAGATTACAAGATTGCGTGTGTGTGTGTGTGTGTGTGTGTGTGTGTGTGTGTATTCACACGCTTGTGCATGTGAAAGGAGAGAATGGGCTGTCTCCCAGGATGTGCAGCAAGCGCTTTATTAGAGCGGTAGTACCAGTAAATCAGAGCTCAGCTCTTCCTGGAACTGCTGCAACCTTTCCCACTGAGCACTATTACTGAACAATCATAGGCTAGCCATGATAATTAGCAGAGTATCTATCCTTCCAACCCTCCTGTCGCCCCCACCCCTCCATCCCCTCTCTCCTGTCTGTCTCTCCATCCTCCTCCTACCCCTCCTCTTCTTAGAAATGTCTAGTGGGTGAGTGGGTAAGGCCAGGCGCCCGCTAGACATCATTTCGCCAGAGGACATCTCACAATACCTGCTGTAATTTTTATCTTGATGCTGGCCAGCGTGACAATTTGGGCTCATTTGTCTGCTCACAATATGAGACAACCACAAAATATTTAGAATTTTTGGGACATCACGGAAAAGTTAGGAGCGCAGGAGAGGAATACGACATGATGGTGCCGACCCTGTCACAGTAGTGAGGGGTAACAAGACTCCATAATAACCCTGTATGTGTGAATATCTGACAATTCATCTAGGATGCCAAAATCAGCGATCCTGTCATCTAGTGGGGACGTGGCCTATGTCTAAGTCAGCAGGACTGACCTCCTGTACAGCTCTTTTTGATTGATATTTTTTCTAGAGCTGGAATACAAACATCAGCTATTTGTGGTTGTAACCTAACGACAGACTATTGTATAGTCCAAGAGAACTGGAGTCAATCCTGGTAGTTATGATCATTAATGGGAAGAGGTCAACACAATTTGCATTCCTGAGTCTGAGAAGCCAGTGCTTCAGGATCATCAGTGAACCACCTTAATGCCTTTTCATGTAACCGCTAATCCCTTCATTTACATTACTACCTCTTTGCCTCTATTATGTTTCATTGTGATTATTTGCTCTCTGCAGTGTAGACTTTTTCTTTCCTCAGCGTTCACTGATTCTTTTGGACTGCACTGAAGGGTAAAATAAGAGCAGAGACTCCATCCAAGTTACAGATGTATTGTGTTCACTAATGGGCCAGCCGCTGGGCTCCACTTAACACTATGTTAGTGCAGTTAAAATGCAGAACATACAATCAAAAGCTCTGTTCACATAGGTGAGGAGCAGACAGTGGATGTGACTGTGCGTGCGAGGCGGAGGGAGAGATAGGTGAGAAGTTTGTATAGTTATGTGTGTGCTCAATAGAGCGGGACCAGGAGAGAGGGAGGGGTGTCAGGACTTTCTTGGTTAAAGATTCCCCATCTGATAGTGACGGCACTTTCTCCCTTTCTTTCCATGGCCAAGCGGCATCTGGAGTGGATTTTGTGCTAGCAGACACCGAGGAACATGATTACATTCGGCTAACTGCGCTCTAAACTGATTATGCATGTGCCAAGCTAATGGACTACATTTGCAAGAGGAAAAATAACATCCAATCAATCTCAATTACCGCCGATTGCACCGGCCCCCGAGACAAGGAAGGTAGCCAGCTAACTCCCCATGCTCCTCCCCTTTCCCCCAACCCTTGACTGGAAGCTGAGGCCTGTGGCTGGGCCTGGTTAGGCCCCACCCTTTCTGTCTGGCCAGAGCAGCCAGGGCCTGGGAGCTGGATTAGTTCCACTCATCTCACCTCCACACTAACACATAGCCAAGCCCTGAGGCCTACTGCTGGTGGTATAAGGGCTATCATATTCACACAGTATGTACGTGGCTAACTGTAAAATGAGAATGTAAGCTGGGTTTGTTCAAGATGAACAGAGAGTCTCAGGGGAGTGCTAGGTAGTCTCAAAACACAGAGTACACAAACTAACATTTGGGTTATCTGGATACTGCAACACAATCCATCTGTTTGTGTTTAGGAATGACCATCCTAGGAGCAGATGGGTGACCATCATGCTATCATCAGAGCCACGAAAAAACCCTAAGGTCCATGGGAAAAAAGAGAAGGTGAAAGTTAGCCTCGGAGCACAGGGGTGTGTTGGCAGGACACGCTGCACTCAGAATGGGTATGTCTCAACTGAGAATACAGTACACAGGGGAAGACGGCATCACCCCCCACTGTGTGGTGGTCCATGTGGTCAGGATGACTTGCAGGATCTTTCTGTGGTCTTTTGGAACATTCCAATAGTTGGGGTGGTGGGGGTGATATTTTTAGAAAGCCCTAATATGGGCCGCATACCACAGACTCTCAAATTATCCCATCCAGCTTAGCCCTCAGTTTAAACCTTCCTTTTTAATTCCAGTAATTACAGGCTCCAATTTATATGGAGCTGTGCACACAAAGGGCCTGTTTAATGCAAACCAGTTTGATTTGGGTGAAGTGTCCCAAGCATCTCCCACATCACACGGCCTGTTTATGCTGACTTGATGATTTATTTTCTCCCCAAAAAGGTTAAAAATGGTGCCATTTGCATCGGATTTCTTTGGGGAAGAATAAATGAATGGTGATTTTCCTTTTTTCGTCTTTGCATAGTACACCAAGTTGGGTTTACAGGCTTGTGGGCCACTGTGGGTTTCTGCCTGTCAGTATCTCTACCAGGACAGTAAATCGAATGCAGCACGAAGACTGTGACATTGTCAAGTGGGGAGCCTGCGCTGCCAAAGAGGCCTTACAACCATGTATTTGTTGTCCGCTAATCACATTTGTAAGTCATAAAATATTGTAATAATTCTTGTCAACTCCAAAACATCTCTGTTTTTAAGTAATGTCTGGGATGAGGAGAGATTATGAGGGCTGCAGTGTTCTCGGGTTGAGGGAGCAGGTAATTTCTGGACAAATGCACACACTCTTACTCGGAAGATCAATTGGTTTTAAGAAATATGGAGCCATCTTAAGAGGCTTAAGTCATAAAAAATGATCATGCCTGGATGTGTTGTACATATTTAATCCCCCCACAGCCTGAGCTGCAGTATGATGACATATGTCTCTTCTCTCTTAAAAACGTGTGCAGAAAAAGAGACAGAGGAGAGAAAAAATATGTTTCTTTTTTGCCTTTCGGGCTCATAGCAAAGTGGAAAGCACAAAGATAATGTAATATAAATTGCACTCTATCCTGCGAGACAAAGCAAGTCTCTCTGTCCAAAAGGTGTGAGGACGAGAGTGAGGATTATGGCAGTGCCTGTCTATTTTGGTCTAATGTGAAACTGTCATTGGAATGTGGGCCAGTAAGTCCAGCAGCTAAGGCCAGGAGAGAATGACCATGGGCTGGAAAAAAACACAAGGATAACTGGTCACTCTTTTCTGCTGTCTCACAACTGACTCGACACATTCGCAGATTAAGTTGCATATTTGCATTTGTATGCATCTATAAATACCCTGTGCATCTGAAAAAATGTTCCTGTGGTCCTCTCATTTATCCTGATGCAAACCACAAATTCTCACCTCAACACCTCCTGTGTCCCCTGGTCTCTCTAACAGCTGTAGCAGGAGCATCACACCGTCCCCTTTAACTAAACACTGAAAATTGATTTCTCTCTTTTTCTGTGATTTCAGCACAAAGGACTTGTGGACAGGAAACATGTCTATCATGCCAGTGGTTCTGAGGAACCACTCAAGACGCTGGATGATTTTCAAAAAGACAGCCTTTTTGAGGCGGTGTAAGTGGATGGGCCACTTCACCTTAGTTTTTAATGTGATTAAAAACACCATGCTTGAAGCAGCACATTTTTCACATGCCTTATAGTGCCTCTTTTCCAAAAGAAGTCATGGTATACTAAGATACCAATACAAAAGTGTCAAGCAACAGAGCTGTTTAAATAGTTCTTCCTGTTTACTTTTTAAGAGTCAAACACTTGACAATGGAGTGGACTTATTACAAATAAAAGCAGCATCTACAAGGAGACGGTGCACATTACAGTGTTATATGTTAGATTATGTCTGTGTGTACGTAGTGTAGGCTTACAGGGAGCGCATGTTGTCACTGTTTGTATGTGTTTCGTTGTGTGTGTGTTGTACGTGCGTGCGCAGCTATGCCAGTTTGGGTTAAGCGCAGAGTGGCCAAAGCCGCAGACACACAGGATAGGTACCTAAGTGGAATCAGGCCTGTTAGATTTATGGCCATTTGTTCGGAGAGTGTTCATCCATTGGCTATTATGGAATGATTAGAGGAGAAGGTGAAGCTCCAAGTCCAGCAAAAATCAATACGGCTGTCGAGAACGATTCAGCCTTTCCCGCTCCGAGGAGTATTAGCACCAAACCTCTGTCTCCTCACACTTCTTCATTCGTCTCCTAGTGATTCACCCCTAAGCCTCCAAACCAGCTTCACCTGCCATGTTCTTCTCGTGGCAGCACTGTGGCCCCTGCGTCTGTATGACTGCTGGGATGGCAAGAGTAACACAAGAAAGCCATCATTCATGCCTTGGAAAAGCAACTAGTTTAGTGGTGTGGGCAGCACTGGAATATTTACTGTGCCATGCGGAGGAGTATCAAGTTCAGAGAGGGAGAGGATTAAGGGCACATTTGTGTAAAACTCATCAAAGTTCAATTGGATAATAAATGCTTCCAAATATGAAACAAATGTACTACTTCCTATGGTTGTACTATATAATCTCAAACTGTACAATAATATATGTAGTGTATATATTCAGTAATGATATGAAAATTGTGATACACTGTCATGACAAAGTTGATTGTTAGGTGTGATAAAGGAGCTTGAGAGCCACTCACCTTGTAGAGTTTGAGGCTAGCCTCATGGCGGGTATTGACAGTGTGCATCCTCAGCTTCTCCAGGCTGTTGGTGTAGTAGTCGCAGGCATTGCACTTCAGGTGTACCGGGTTGCCTATGGCCACACACTTAAGGCGCCATTCATTGCCTTTGCCCCCTTCTTTTATGTGGGCCACAAGCTGGTACTTTTGCACATGCTTGTCTGTCTTGCAGTGAAGCTGGAAGTTGGCCTTGAGCTGAGTGGTGTAGTGGCACAACTTGCACTGGTGAGAGTCGCCCACCACAGCGCGCCACTCCTCCTCCGGCAGGCTGCGTTCAGCTCCCATATGCATGCCGAGCACATCCAGGTTGTCAGTGGTGAAGCGGTTGCATACAGCACACTGAAACAGCTTGAGGGAGGGGTCGCTGGTTTGTGATAGACTTTCTCCCAGGGTCATCAGTTCTTCAGACACCAACTGCCCACCGCCCAGCCGCACATCCATAGGGATCTCCCCACCTACTAGAATGTGTGGGGAACACAGAGAAAGATGGAAAAAAAGAGGAAGAGAGGAAAGAAAGGTATTTAGATGGCTGCAAATATACACTTGTGTTAGACACATTCAAAGCTCAGACAGCTCAGAGTTCTGTTTTTAAAGATCACTTCATCTCTCAGTATTTTACCTCAGGACATGTAAATCATTATTTTATTGTTTTGAGTTAGTGAGCATAGTGTTCTCCAAATGAAGCCACAGTTTGTGCATCTCTCATCACCACAGGTTAAGTGAAGCTGCTCAGCTTTGAAAAACCACACTGTCTGTCGCTACGACATTGCATGAAGGATAATGTGCATGCACGAATTTATGGACCTCTCGCTATCCTTGCTTTGAGCTGAGAAATAACAAAGACCGGACTTTTCCATAAGGACCAAAACCTTACACTGCCAGAGAATGAATGCACACATTGCCCTGTTTGGGCTGGTGCACTTCCATGGCCTGTCTTGTAAATCAACTCCAGAGGCCATGAGCTCCGCAGAAAAAAAGCAAGTTATTTTATCATTACCAAAGAACTAAAGAGTTCCCAAGCACACATTACTGTAAATCAAATCCATCGCCCTTATTCACTGAATAATAACATAAAAAAAATCCACTTCTCTGCTTGGATACTTTGCTTGGATTCTTCTGCTTCTTTCACTCCAGATTGCCTCTAAATCAATATGGACACCTACAGCAACAGATTAATTCTGCTTGGTACTGAGTCTAAACGATGAGAGGGGGGGGAAAAACGCAGCAAGCACATATCCTATGACACCAACCACAGAACTGATGTCTATACAGTCTGGGAAGGCTGACTTTAAAAATTAATACTAAAAATATGAGGTAAGAGCAGCCGGAGTTTTTGCCTTTGCTTGCTGATCTTTAATCTTTCACTGCCCAGACTGAGCATGCAGGCTTGACCCTGCCTGGCTTTACACTAAATTAATTCCAGCAGCTCCTTTTTTATTTATTGCTGCAGTATGCAGCCTGCTCTTGGACTTTTCTCCATTACCTGAGTTTTTATAGCCAGGAGAGGGAGACCTTTGAGAAGCCCTCTGAAATCACTCACAGACCCAGCTCCCCAGTCATGGCTTCTTACACTCTCGCTCTCTTTTTTTTTTTTTACAAACACACAGATGCACACATATGCCCAATCGCTATCCCAGTCCTGTCCTCTCCTCCACCTTGCATCTCTCATTTCTACCTGGCTCTCATGCCCCATTGCTATGCAGATTCAATGATTTACCACAGACGTGGATCATGTTCCTCACTAAATCCTGGTTGTAGACCATTAGACGAAGACTCTGACTTGTAGCTTTGCATCTGTTTTCATAATTTTTTTTTGTTTCATTTTATTTTTTTACTGAAACCGAATTATTGTAAAGGTATAGGAATATAACGAGATCACATTTTTTGCTTATATGCTAAGTTTTTAAGTGAACAGCTGTCTCACTTGTTGTTTGTGCTGTTTCATAGTGTCCGTTGGACAACAAATTCCATCACTAATAGTGAAAAGTCACATCCTCCTCCCTTCTCCTTTACTCTCTTGCGCCCAGTCTCATATCTTCCTTTCACTACAGTAGCTGAGTCTTAGGGAACGAGGATTACTAGGAGGATGAGATCATGTGAGGTCAACATTTGTTATCTATCTCTTTGGCAATACACTCAAAAGTCAAAAATCCACAGTGAAAGCATGAAAGGGCACCTCTCACTTTAGCTGCTTGGTCTGAGATCTCCTTGTGATGGCAGATTCTCTCAAGAGATTTACTGAGCCTTATGTGTCTTACTCTTGAGTTAATATCGGAGTGTTTGTGTATGATGTCTTTAAGAGTTCCTTACAGTGTGACAGAGGATGACACCACTGTATTTTATGGGCCCAGACTGTCATCATCGCCTCCCTTGTAACATGCTTATTACAACTCACCTCACAGGAAAATGAACCAGATGGCAGAAGAGGGAAAAAAACGAATTAGTCACAGCAATCAATTCTTGTTTGTGTCTTTGAACCGGCGACAGTTGGAGACAAGTCTGTACAAACTGTGGGGTTGTAACTGGCCCGCCGAACGCTCTGCTATGCTGCTGAATTACCCATGCTGAGCCCTCTAACCTCCCTTCTTTGACCAAGATAAAATTTATAGCTGCAATTACAAAGTTGGAAAAAAATGGAGAACTCCAGTGGTGAAGTTCAGCAGCAGTTTGGGAATAATGACATTAAAAAAAAGCTGAGGCTGGCTGCCTGAGGGGGAGTGCAGGGAGAAGAGAAAATAGAGGCATGGCCCTCTAACTCACCTTTTGTGAGCAAAAGTGGGTATCACAAAGTGAACTTCAAAATTCAGTCAAAATCACATCAGTACAGTGTCACTTACATGTCCTGTTAAGGAAAAAAGAATTACCCCAGGGCATCTATTTGCTACTTGGCACATTTAAAGCTATATATTTGTAGATGAAACTAACTGGCAGACTGGTCTTGTGCACTAGACAATTTTACTATGGAAGTCAGATCAAGGCACTGAGCATCGGCCTAATGCCATAAAGACACCTATCATGTATGGAGAAGGTCTGGGGTAACCCCTCCTTGTAAACCTGTCTCAAACAGTTCATGTATCTTTCACCTCTCCCTCTTTACATTTCAGTGACAATCTGCTTGTAAAATGAGACAATGATGTCAAGTTCACTAGGGCAGGCATACCTTACCTTAGGGCATGACAAAGAAAGGCAGCTGCCAAAACTAAAAAGCTGTGATATAGCTAGAATACACAGCAGTGCAGAGAGGCAATATGTGGATAATCCTGCTCGTCGTTATGTGTGTTGTTAACGGTGTGTAAATTAGGAATCAAGATCAAGTCAAACTGAAACTGATTCCACATTAAAGTAATAGCTCTGAGCTGTACTTTGTGATTTTGTGGCAACCGGGGGATTTCTGAAAGCAAGAGAGACAAAATAGGGCTCACCAAGTGCAGGGGCCAGGGCAGCCATGTTGGGATCCAGGTGAAAGCTCCCCATCAGGAACTGGGCCTCAGCTCCAGCTGGGTCAATCTTGAGGCCTGGAGGAAGGCTCATGTTCTGGGTCAGGTAATATTGGTAGAGCTCAGCCTCAGATGGTGACGGCATGGCTCCCAGGCCAAGTCGGCCATGCTGCATCTGAGTCACATTCTGCTGGAGTAGCATCATGTTGTGCATGTGCTTCTCGCTGGTCATGTGGATGCGCAGGTTCCGTGCCACGTTGGTTTCGTAGTCGCACACCTCACACCGCCAAGTAGGTTTGCTCTTCGGCTTGGTCGGGGAGGGGGCCCCACACGGTCCAGCCATATGGGTGGAGGACTGTGTAGGGTGGTGGTGGGGCGGGTGATGGCTACTGGCCTGGGTCACTGAGGGGACAGCCACCACTCCTCCAGGGGTATGTCCAAACACCTGCTCCTGCGCAGAGCCAATGGTGCCTCCATTCTGCAGGGTCTGCATGTTGTTCAGGTGCTTGTCCGACTGCATGTGGATGCTTAGGTTGCCCTTTGTGGTGGTTGAGTAGTTACACACCTAGAAATTAGAGGACATTTTCCATTAAACTGCAATAAAGGCATACATATATTACTTTTGAATATAATTTCACATCTGACATAAGCCTAAATGGCTCAACAACACAAAAACAACTTAAACTAAAATTGAGCATCGCCACATTTCTTTGCTACATACCTCACACCTGAAGGGCTTGTATCCACAGGTATAGCTTTCTCCACGAGCCAGACGAGGGTGGCTCTGACCACTGCTGCAGTACGCACAGGAGCCTCCAGAGTCTGGGTGCTTCTCTTTCATGTGAGCCTCCAACGTCTGCTGGTACTTGTAATGCCAGTTGCATTTCGGACACTTGAGTGTCTTGCAAGAGTTGCGTGAATGCATCATGGTCATGTGCCCACCTAAGGAGCGTGAGGAACCCAGAACTGTGTCACATTTAGGGCATTCTACCCCACTTCCTCCGTTACCACCAGGCCCATGGTTCTGTGAACACTCGCCCATCCCCGTCATGTCACAGGGGCCTCCTGGGGGGAGGTGGGAGTGGCCATGAGATGAAGGGTGGAGGTGATGATGATGGTGGTGCATGTGGTGATGGTGCAGAAGGGCTCCATTTTCCTCCTCTCCCTCTGCCGGGCAATCATTTGGTTCTGGAGCTGTGGCACTATCTCGATTGGCACTTTCATCAGCAGCAGCATTGGAGGACAGAGGTGAGGAGGAAGTGCCAGCAGTGTCATCCTCGCTCCTTCTGACGGCAGCTGCCGCCATTGCCATGGGAACAGTGGGCCCCTGGCAGTTAAAGCTCAGAGGGAGCTCTGAGGTCCTCCCCCCACCGTCTGCAGCTGAACCCTCTTTCTTGACAGAGGAGGAAGTGGAAGCAGGGGCTTTGCTGTTGAGTGTGGAACTGACCGCAGAGGTGCAGGCAGAAGGCTGGAGAGCGCTACTAGGCATTAATAAAGGAGATTTGGAAATGCTTTGGTTTGAGACAGCTGGTTCCCCCGCTTCACCCCCGCCGCTGCTACTGTTACCACCACAGGCCACTGCAGTGCTTTCTGCCTCCACCTCGTCTTCCTCCTCCCCTAATAACAGTTCCTCTTCTTCTTCCGAGCCCCCCATCTGGCTCGATAGGTGCGCCTTGTTTTCATGTCCCTCAGTGTCCCCATCCTCTCCCTTGCATGCCAACTCTTTCCCAGCAGGCTCCTCTGTTCTCCCTCCCTGTTTGGGCAGGGCACTGGAGTCTTTGGCAGAGCCTGGGGATGAGGTAAGAGTGGACGCTTTGGGAATGCTCAGCCCTCCAAGAGAGAGGACCGAGCTTAGTGGGGTTTGTTGCTGCTGCTGTTGCTGGAGGCCAGAGTCAGAGTCTTTGTTGAGGAGGGTCTCGCTGTCCCTGCTGCTGTTTCCAGGCTCCAGATGGACACCACTAAATGTGCCATAGAAGCTCTGGCCAGAGTTAATGGGGAGCAGGGTAGGTGGCAGAGGAGTGCTCTTATTTTTTGGTTCCAGGAAACTGATGAGGGGCTCTTTGTCCTTCCCAATGCCCTGGATGATGGCAGATGCCTGCTTGTCCCCTAGCAGCTGCCGCTCGTCCTCACACAGTGTCATGCGGTGATCATGGACGGCATGAGTGGCAAAGGAACGCGCATAGCCAAAGGACAGCTTGCAGAGAAAACACATGAGAATGGGCTTACCCTTGCCATACAGGGCTAGTCCATCAAATTTGGAGAAATCCACGTTGTTGGGAACATCTTTGGATACACAGGACTTCTTGGCAGACCCATCGCTGTTCAGGTAATCCTTGTTGCTTTTGTGCCGCACATCGAAGACACGGAAACTGTGCAGGACAGGGCTGAGGCCTGCCATGGTTGAGGTATTGGGGAAACCTTGGTCTGAATTGCCAAACCACTTCCCGAAGGACGAGGCTATGTGGAACGTGTTGATGATCTGAGGGTAGACCGAGGATGAAGTCCCAGCAGGTTCCCCCGGTTTTCCCCCACTGGTGAGAGAGTTTGTGGGAAGCAGGCTGGGTACCATGCCCCCACCACTTTGGATCAACTGACTGAGGCTCTCCACTATGTAGGCTGAGCCGTCTGGCTGGTAGACTATCTCTCCAGCCAGGTTCTCCACATCACTACTCTCCTCTTCCTCTTCCTCCTCTCCTTCCTCACTCCCACTCTCAGGTGCTCCCTGCTGTCGTGTGGGCTGATGTCGCAAAAGAGTGGGCATGCCTCCTCCCCCTGAAGCCATCGGCACCCCAGGAAAGGGTTGAAGACTTGGGAAACAGCTGTCAATCTCCATTTCATCTAAGTCCTCAGATTCTGCCTCTTCACCACAGCTCACTCCCTCTTGCTCTTCTTCCTCAAGACCCTGTCTTCTGGGATGCAGCTGGCCTGTGGCAGAGCTATCACGGTGGGCCTGGGGTGATGTCTGTTTTGGCTGCTGCTGCTGGGACTGTAGTTCTCTCACCCCGTCATGAGGCGCACTGGGATTTTGGGGTTGAGAAGGGTAGGGAGCAGAGAGAGACAGGGGGTCCAGGGAAGGGGCCTGGTTGGTGCAAGGGACCTGTGAGCTAGAGTGATCGTTCCAGGGCTGTGGTGGTTGCTGCTGCTGGGAGGAGCCGAGCCCATCGTCTGTCCCAGAAACCACAGGAGACTCACAGCTGTCCATGCTGATGCCTACATGAGGCGTTCATCGCATCCAGGCCTGCAGACACAAATTGGGTGAGATGAGAGGTTATTGTTGTGTTTGGCATGTTAAATGTAAACACAGACATACATACATGAGAGCATACAACTCATCACATTTAAAATACCATTGTTGGAAACATAAATGTTTATATATTCCAAAATAATACTCCGCCTATTAAGAAAAGATCAGATACAAAAAAAAATGTGAGGGAGACGCTATGTTTAAGAACCCCAAAAGAAGGAAATCAAATGTATAGCACACTGGGTGAGAGACAAAAGTCTGAGATATAATTGGAAAAATGACACCATGCTCATTACGCTAGATTAGGTACTTAAACACAATACCTGAGACAAGCACTAATAAGCCGTCCATGATTCATCTTCCTGCCATATCAGGAAGGTACCATCTTTTATCTTCACCTTCCAAACAACACCCCTAATCTTATATTCTGCAAATCCTACATCCGTTTTTAATTAACTTGCAGTCAGAAAAAAGGAGAAACAGGCTAACTTAATGGATCAAATAGATTCCCTGTGAGATAATTAGACACTGAGAAGCCACCCATCAGCACATTGTACATTTACATAACTGGGAGAAAAAGGGAAAACTGCATCTAAAAAAAGACATTCTGAACAGCAACATCACCATTATCGCTCCAAAGTTGTGTACATATAAGAAGAATACATGCACACTATTGATATAGATGTGTATGAACTTTAACAAGAGCAATAAAAGGCTGTATTTTCTATGAGCCCAAAATACATAAGCTGGGTTGGGACTTCGCTGCAGCTGTGTTTAGATCTTGCATCCAATAACCTCTACGCTCAGCCTGGTTTCAAACACTCCAGCCATCCTCCGCCTCTAAAATAATAAATGGGAGCTGAGCTTTCGGGAGCTGGCCATGCCCCGAGCATCTGAGAGGCCCAACACAGGCTGCAATTTAGAGCGCAGAAGAGATAAAATGATAGCTCAAGATACTGCTGAGCTAATAATTTTATTAAAGGGATGCAGCCAACATTGATTAAAGGGGGCAATCGGGCTGAAACCAATAACTCTGGGCTGCCCTTTAACCCACCAGTACTGAATATTACATGAGCAAAGTTTCCCGGCACCAAGCTCACCGCCATGTCCCGGTTGATTAGCACATTCACTGCTTGCACTTGATTTATTTACTTATTTACTTAGGGATGCAAATTTCAGCTGTGATCAGAATGGAGTCTACCCCCACACCCTAACATATTAACCACTGAGGGAGAGGAGAGATTGATAATGTCTGTCTGCCTCTTCATGAATGTCTGATGAAGCTCTCCTCCCACGCAACATACCTGAGACCTCTCTAGTCTATATGCACTCACACTACAAAAATAATGGACTTCCATTTTATGCTTTTGTATTTGGACTTCAGGATGACAGGCCAGAGGAGCACATTGTGGGCAAAGTCACAATAAATAAAGAAGCATTTTAACAAAAGAGCAATGACTTTGGTTAAATTTACAATATGACTGCAAAGATGATGTAGATGTTATTGTCATAAATACCCGCGGACATTCATTTTCTGTCAGAACGGTCCACTTGATTGTTTTCTCTACACACTACAGATGCTAACCCCGATGACCCTTGCCTTGCTTTGCATATAAAATGAAAGATATTAGACCGGCTGGCTTATTAACAAGATTGCTTTATACAGCCAGACATGATTTAGAGAAGGCTGCCATATTGAGTGAGGGGATACTAGCCCTTACTGGTCTGTATTTATTATCTGCTCCATTAATAAGAGGCTATGAGCTCAATAGCCATTTCACACAAATGGACTGAGGGCAGTGAGAGTAATGCAAGAAAAAAAAAATGCCACATGTCAAACAGACAGTGATTCTTCAAACTAAAAGCATGTGGATAAACTGTACAAAAATGAAATGAAAAAAAAAAAAAAAAAGAGCAGAAAGTGTGACTTGTCTAAAAGGACTGCCTCATAGGAAAAAGTCTCCATGTGTCCTGTCTGAGCATGGAGTGTTTCACACCTTGTTCCTGTAATCTATTCCATCAGCCCCTCCTCCAGATTCCACTGCCTGTCTCGACCAGGCCTGGGAACACTGGGCTCACATGCACAGCTAGTAGTTAAGACGGTTAGTTCACAATGACCTCTAAAGTTCTCTACTCTCATCTTTGCATGGTCCTGAGTCTGAACACAGTGGCTACAGTGCACTGTAGTGAGTGTATGTACCCATCCATTCCTATTACTGCTGTAAGATTCCTGAAGCAATTAGCAGTAGACAGGATAACACGATGACTCTTGATCAGTGCTGGAGCTCTGAGCCAGCTTGGTGTGTCCACTGCTTACAGAAAACAGGATTGCCCTTTAAAATCAAGATGGTGTAATTCAATAACCTGCAGTGGTTACTGATGAGCAATGGGATTGTCTGGAGTCGGCAAGTCGCAGATGGGCCAACTGATATAACGCTGTTTGTCTCTCGGAGGTCTGCCTGGCTCAGTGACACCTGTTTAAAGCAGGAAAAGCTTTAATCTCTGGGAGGCACTAAACAAGTCGGGGAGACAGACAAAGAGACGCGGTCGAAGAAGAGGGGAAGTGGAGGAGGCCAGTGTCTCTGTGTGCTGACTGTGTTAATAACCACAAATCAAAATGATGGAGCAGCCCACTAAAGGTGACTACTGCTGAGTGGTATTATGCAAAGTTATACACAGTAATACGCAGAAAAGTTGTAATTTTCTTTTGCATACTGGCACTGGTGCTGATTGCACAACACGAGTGATCCCGCCATGGCCTCTGCCCTTGTGTTGTATCGTAATTTTGAATGTGGGCCCACTGAGTTGACAATAAGCAGGCTGTACGCAGCCAAAACAAGCCTTTGCTGACAATAAGAGATAATCAGAGGGAAGAAAAGGCTGGATTCCTGAGCTGATCTGAGGGAGAGCATGTCGACGCACAGATCCTGACTGTAGAACTCACACTCCTGCTGCCACCTGCCTTCAAAGGCTTTATGCCAGGGTCCCCCTGCTCTCTGTCTTTCTCTCTCCTCTGACAAAACAATAAAAAGTCATACTCCACCTCCTCCCACCACACTAACAAAGCAGATAAGATTGAACCTTGTGAAAAGGCCTCAGTCCTAATGAACACTGTCAGAGAGTGGGTCTGGATGTCATTTGGTAGGGATGGAAAATGAGATAAGTTATAAGTTATGGGTCCTTTCATTAGGTGGGATTTACCGGCCAACTGAGGGAGGAATTAAAGGCTAAGGAACCATCTGATTATAAGCATGCCTGATCACCTGCCTGAAGGCCTGGCCTTGCCTCCAGAGGACCCTGCTCTCCAGGGTTTCCTGAGGGAATTAGCTCTGACTCAGCTCTAACTGTGAATACTGCTGGGCTATGGGCGGGACGCAGCCCAGACCCTTACTCATATCCGCACAGACGTCAGCAGTGAGGGAACACCTCTTTAAAAACGGAAAAACACTGTTCCTTAACACGTCTGTAAGACCCCCTAACAATACACCAGATCTGATTTTCAATTGTCCCTCAGTGATGTTGCCTGTTTGTGTCTGGTCTCTGAGCCATCACAGAGCCTGGCCAGCCACCGCAGGGTAAGGGGCGCTTATTGGAAAATCAATGGCGTGAACACTAAGCAAGTTACAGGAAGATGTGGGAAGGAAGGGTTCTTATTGATAAAGCAAGGGAAGGCCTTTGATGTTGCACGAGGGACATGCTCATTGATGGGGGAACCATTGTAGTCCTCAGGCAGAGTGAGGCCCGGGTTTATCTTCTAGGTTTGTTCCAATTAATCACCAATAAAGGCGTGCATGTATTGCACTCTTAAACATAAGTCCATTTTAATGCCTGACATGGCTTGGTAAATTCTGGTTTCAGTACCGCGCTCTTACAGTGAGGGAATTTATATTTCTAACACTGCGCATCAAATGTCTCATTGTGCCTTTCTCTACTCTGCTCTCTATTCTCTGCCAAAACTAATTGTAGCCTGCGAGCCTATATCTAATACAAAAACCTGATATTCACCTGGGGAATAACTATGCGACATCTGAGTGTGCAAGTGTGGCACAAAACTGGCAGACTGCTGTCACAAGCTGATTTGCTGTACAGAATCAAAAATAAATAAAGGCATGAAATCATTTATATTATACTCTTAATGTCATTAAAACACCTAATGTTAATCAACTACTTTTTATGAAATACAAAACAATGACAATGATTCAAACAGTCTAAAAGGGGAAATCTTTCAGTGCTATCACAGGGTCCCTTTGTCAGGGTGTTGTGAGCCAAAAAAAGTTTTTCAACCACTGCTACACACAAAGGACCATTATAATTCTATTAGGTACATGAAGTTCTTGTTCTTTTTGATCCACAACACTGTTAATCAGACAATTAACCATGTGCAGCATTGTTGTTTATTGTGTGCTGTAAATATTCTGTCTGCTATTCTGCTAATGCAGACATAAGGGTGCTCCAGTATTGCTCCAACTGCAGGAGGCAAAAAGTCACCTCAGGTCGATGGCACTCAGCCTGTAAACAGGGCTTCCCGTAAAATCAATGATCTTCAGTAGGAGCTATCAGTCTGTGGAACAGAAATAGCCGTGGCTGTGTTGAGTCTGAGGCGGGGAGGAACAGTACTGTGTGTTTACATGAGTGTGTGTGAGTGGAGGGAGCCGGTCACTGGCATGTCTGGGAGTATTTCTCAGAGATAGCAGAACTGAGGCATGCAGCTTTTGTCATGTTACAGCCAGTGGAAACCTAGATGCATTAGGTGCTACAGAGACAAGACTGCAGCTCGCAGATTTCATTAATATTCTTCTGTATGTGTATGTTACGCATTAAACTGGTATTGAAACAAATATATCACTTACAGCTAAAATAATCCTTGCTGATTACAATAAGAGCAACTCAAATACCCAGGAGGCAATGTGCTGATTGTTTTAGTTTCACAGCACTCAATTTTAGTAACCATTTTGCACTAGTAATACTGGCCAGAAAAGGCAAAATTGATTTGT